GCCAACATGGTGAAACCCCATCTCTAATAAAAATACAAAAACTAGCCGGGCATGATGGTGGGTGCCTGTAGTCCCAGCTACTCGGGAGGCTGAGGCAGGAGAATCACTTGAACCTGGGGGGCGGAGACTGCAGGTCCACTGCACTCAAGCCTGTGTGACAAAGCAAGACTGCGTCGCCAGAAAAAAAAAAAAAAAGCTGGATTCTGGTGCCAGGCTTTGCCATGGACCTCAAAGAAGGGTTAGCATTTGCACAAGGCCAGTTAGACATTTAGGTACCAAAAGTTAAATCTTGATGTTGATGGAGCTGACCAGGGCCCATGGATGGTCAAAGATGAAGACAAAACTAACATCAAGATCCAAAACAGTAAGTTCCCAGATAAAGACAAACATTGCTCTGGGTTCTCAAAATTCAGTTTATGCAAGCTATATATATGCCAGAGGGTGAATTATCTTTAATATATAAAAAAGCCTTGCATATTAATAATCACAAACATTTCTAAGCATTTCTATGTGCAAATCACCGGGCTACAGATTCAAATACATCATCTCATTCAATCATCAGACTTATTATAACCACCATCATCTTTTTCATTATACAACGGAGAAAACCAAAGCTCCAAGTGATTAAGTGATCTTCTCATGATCAAACAGATGATAAGTGGCAGAGGCTTAAGGCCCACTCAGATGTCGCCAAGTTTCAAGTTTGTGTTTTTGCTTTTGTACTCTGCATTAAATCCGTGGCATGAATGGTACCTATGTTCTCTGTGTGTGTGTGTATGTGTGTGTGTGTCTGTGTTTTTCTCAATATGTGCATGTATCAGACTGCATGCCAGGCAGGAAAAAGTTCTTGAGTACCAATAGGGAAAAGAAGGTCAGGCCTAAACCCCTTGTGTGTTCTGAAGCCATTATCCTGATCACACAACTACATTGACCTTTATGGACAAAGCACAGCTCTACAGGTAAATGTCTGACCAACTCAGAAGCAGTGGCTTTTGTTTTAACTTTATACCCACCTCCAGCCTGCCACAAAAGTTTGTATTGGGTATGGCATATGGCTATAGGACCACTAGAAAGTTCTCTGAGGCCGTTCCCTCATCTGTACAATGGGAACCATAATAGTACCCAACTCATAGGACTGTTAGAGGGAATTACATTTATAAAATGCATTAAAATGTACATGGCATGTAGTAAGACTCATATAAAATGTTTGTTAAATAAATGGGGAATAACTCACCTAATGCTTCAAGATGGATGGAAGGAAGGAAGGAAGGGAGGGAGGGAGGAAGGGAGGGAGAGGGGGAGGCAGGGAAGAGGGAGGGAAGGGAGGGAAGAGAAAGGGAAAGGGAGAGGAGAGGAGGGGAGGGGAAGGGAGGGGAGGGGAGGGGAGGGAAAGGAAGGGAAAGGAAGGGAGGGGAAGGGAAGGAAGGGAAGGAAAGGAAGGGAAAGGAAGGGAGGGAAGGGAGGACAGGAAGGGGAAAAGGAATAGAAAAAAATCATATAAAAGATAAATTGTTTAAAAAATTCAAAGTATGAGAAAGAGGTCTAGAGAAAGCAGGACAGACTGAAGGCCAGAATCGAAAAGTAGAGGACAGACTTATATTTGTTGGTTAGTCATACTTATAAACCTCCTTGCCAGCTCAGAGTCTTGGTCCTTGTATTATATATACTTATAAATCAACTGTATAGTTGATCTTTGAACAATGTGGAGGTTAGGGACACTGACTTCCTGAGCAGTCTAAAATCTGCCTATAACATTTAACTCCTCTAAAACTTAATAACAATAGCCTTGTTGACCAGAAGCCTTACTGAGATCAATTAACACAAATTTTGTATATGTATTCTATATTGTATTCTCACAGAGGTAGAAAGTCATGAGGAAGAAAAAATACATTTAGAGTACTGTACTACATTTATCAATAACATATGTTTGCATCATTTGTTCACAAGGTGAATCGTCCATCTAAAATAGTGGGAAACTGCAGCTGCCGACCTCCATCTATTCAGCTTTTTCTTGTAATGTCTCAACTTTTTTCTGCTTCTTGGGAGCACTTCAGCATCACTAGTGCACTTTGTATGGATCCTCTGGTGTTATTCAACATTTACGGTATTACACTAAACTCGATGCAAAAATGCGAGAAACGATGAGTTCGTGTCCTTTGTAGGGACATGGATGAACCTGGAGACCATCACTCTCAGCAAAATGACACAAGAACAGAAAAGGAAATACCGCATGTTCTCACTCATAGGCGGGTGTTGAACAATGAGAACACATAGTCACAGGAAGGGCAGCACTACACACTGGGGTCTGTTGGGGGGAATAGGGGAGGGCCAGCAGCGGGTGGGGAGTTGGGGAGAGATAGCATGGGGAGAAATGCCAGATACAGGTGATGGGGAAGAAGGCAGCAAATCACACTGCCACATGTGTACCTACGCAACTATCTTGCATGTTCTTCACATGTACCCCAAAACCTAAAATGCAATAAAAAAAAAATAAAAGAAA